GGGGGGGGGGGGCAGGGGGGAGGCCTGGTCCTAAGCCCACGACCGTCCCTGCGCCTGGCCCTGTGCTAGGTGCCCGCATGAGGGGTGACGGCTGAAGCATGTGGTTCCTGCCTCAGGGCTGCCCAGTGGGAGACAGGCGGCCCCTCCCCCGTGCGAGCCGAGATCCGAAATGGCCATTTCTGTAAATCAAAAAGAGTCGAACGTCAGCGATTTCATACGGGTTTGTCCTAATTCCACACACGAGTAATCTTCTCAGCAGCACAAGATAAGGAGGACGGGAAAGACCGATAAGAAACGATGTCACGAGGTTAAATGCCCAAGAAGTGCCACGCACAGGCGGTGTGAGTCATTCAGGCCCGGGGAGCAGAGACCCCCACCGGTGGCGCCGCACCCCTCCTCCGCGCCCCTGCTCTCACCCCTGCAGAGCACGGAACAATCTGTGCTCTAATATTTTACTCGTCTGTGTGACATCCCAGACGGTCAGCTCTGGGCTAACAGGACTAGTTCTTAGCGGTCTTAGAATCTCCGTCACGTTGCTGTGTGACCACGAGCAAGTTACTCAACCTCTCTGAGCTCCCGCTCCCTCCCGGGATGGAAAGGGGGAAAGGGTAGCGTGCACCCGCGAGTGTTATCGGGAGAGAATGGGGGCCGAGGCACGCACGACAGGGCCTCGTGCGGGGCCCGGTCCGGCGGGGGGGATCGGTCAGTTTCTTATTATTTGGTTGTTAAAATCCCCTTGACACATCGCAAGTGCTCGACAAATGTCAGCGATTGTCGTGAGAGTAGTGCAAGAGTACAGCGCCCGGCGCATAGTAGGCTCTCGACGACCGTCAGTGCTTCAGTCACTGGCCATTGTTACGCACAGTGGCCGGCTCGGCTAACGGCGGAACAGACGTTCTGTTTTCACGAACGAAAAGCCAATCGATTGAGCAAGTCAGCTCAAGACCAAAGCCCTCGGTACCTCTGACCCCACCCTGTCTCCTCAGGCAACGGCCCCTCAGGCATCTGCCTGTCCTACCTGCTGTCCGGCTACACCCCCTACGTGAGGCCAGATGCCGTCCACCCGCACCCGCTGCTGCAGAGGAAGCTCGCCGAGGCGCCGGGGGTCTCCCTCCTGGACCAGGTGGGCCAGAACTCTGGGGATGGGGCAGGGGACACGCACACCCTGGGGAAGCAGGGCAAGAATAAAAATACGCGGTGGTTAGAGCACAAGACCACGTGAGGAAGGCGAGCGGCCGCAGGGGCCGGCCCGGAAATCGTGCCAGGAACCAGGGCCGTCTTTCGCGATCGGCAGCTGCGACACCAGCTTCCCTTACGTCCCCTAGACCAGCGGGTGTAACCCGGGGGATGATCCTGCTCTCCACGGCCCCCTCGGCCATCCCCGGGGACAACGTCGGTTGTCACAACTGCGGTTACCCTACACGCTCCCGCCACAGAGCGCGGTTGAGAAATTCCGCCCTGGGTAGTTCATTTCACTAGCCCCTGCCCCAGGGAGCTCACCAATCCTCCATCCACGCCCCTGGCCTTCCAGAAGGCCGCTGGCTGTCCACCTCCTCCTCCCAGCATTTTCCCCTCCTCCTAGCCCCTCCCACCCTCAAGCTGGTGGATAAGGAAGCAAGCTGGCATTTGGTCTAGATCGGCATCTTTCAAAATGCCTTCTACAGGACACCAGTTCCTCAGAGAAGACGTTCCTACTCCAGGAAGTCTGAGGGATGCTCGGGTTTGGCAAAACTACAGGGAAAATCGGCTGCAGGACTTGTCAGAGCCTTTAACATGCTGCCGTGCCTTATCTCTTAGTGAGAGGCAGCACTTTCCGGGTTTGTCTGGCCACCCTGATACTAGGGTGGGAATGCAAAACCGGGCAGCCTTGGTCCAGTGGCCCCTCTGACCCATGCACCCCCTCCAGGACCTGGATTACCTGTCTGAAGGCCTCGAAGGCCGGTGCCAAAGCCCCGTGGCCCTGCTCTTTGACGCCCTCCTGCGCCCAGACACAGACTTCGGGGGAAACATGGAGTCCGTTCTTACCTGGAAGCACCAGAAGGAGCGAGCCATCCCCCACATGGTCCTAGGCCGGAACCTGCCTGGGGGGGCCTGGCATGTGAGTGGGGGCCGGGAGAGGCGGGCGGGGGGGGTGATCTGGGCTCAGTCTACCCGGAGTGTCGGAGAGATTTCCTCCCAAAGATTAGGACTCTTCCGTTTCCTGCCTTTTCCCTATTCCCTCCCCCCTCCTGCTCTACCCACCGCCCCTCTGCCTCCCTCTCCACCTGCCCTTTCTGCCCCCTCCCCAGCTGAGGCCTCCCACCCCCTGCCGACCTGCTGGGCTAGGGGCTAGGAGAGGCCTGGACCAAAGGACCCCTTTTGCCCACAGTCCATTGAAGGCTCCATGGTGACCCTTAGCCAAGGCCAGTGGATGGGTCTCCCAGACCTGCAGGTCAAGGAGTGGATACGCAGGAAGCGGAGGTGAGGCAGTTCTGGAAAGCCCCGGAGGGTGAGGAGGGCGGGGTGACCCGGGCCTGCCCCCATGCGGAGCCCAGGAGCCGGAGGGAAAGGGGCTCAGGGCCACCAACGCGGCCCTTCCTCCTGCCCGGGGCGGGACACTGAGGCCCCGGTGGGGAGAGGGCCGCCTGGGGCTGGGCTCACCCCAGGACTCCCCCCAGTGCTCCTGCCTGGCCCACAAGCCTCTGACGGGGGGGCCTGGGCAGCATCCCAGCCCCTGTGGGAGGGGGACAGCTGGCCCTGCCCTGGGGCTCCGACCAGGCTCCCCCCACCCCCACGCCCCTGCCTGTCGCTAGCCCATGGTGTGGGGGGGGGGGGGGGTAGGTCTCTCCATCTTGTTTCCTGCTCCGTCGTGACCTCCCTGCACGCTTCTGACCATCCTGGGGGAACAGCTCATTCCCTGAACAAACGAGTCCCAGCCCCTGCCCTGCCTGGGGAGCGAGGCAGAGAGTTGCCCAGGGCCTCAGGGTCGGAGGGGGTCGCCGCGCGGGTGGTGACGCCCTGTCCCCTCCGCCCCTCACAGGCCTCTTGCCTCCCACCCAGCCACCCCGTTTCACAAAGCCTTTGTGTCCCTGCAGATTTGGTCGGAAGACACCCAGGCTAGCGTCGTGACGTGTTAACAGACAGATGGGAACTTAGGTTGTAATTGTAGGCGTGCCCTTTTATAGCCTACTTTTCTTTTTCTTTTTTTTTTTTAATGTTTTCTTATTTATTTTGAGAGAGAGTGAGAGAACGAGTGGCAGAAGGGAAGAGAGAGAGGAAAAG